TGTTCCAGTCGGACTATCTCATCCATTAGCTCATGTACCCTTTCAAAGGCCTCCCCATGGGCATAGAGGTCATTGGGTCCCTGCCAAAAAAGCAGCTGAGGAGCATCAAGGCTGTGTGCATTTAAAAAAATGTGAACTTAACCAATGGCCTGAATCCAAGTAAGCCTGTACCACTCTCCCTACTCTGAATGTTATCTAGAGAGCAATGGCACAGAAAGATCTCATTTAAACTTAGTCTTCATAGCTGCTTTGTCACAAACATATTATAAAAGCAGAGTCCTGAGGGGTTTTTTTCTGAATCAGAAAGAAAGGGAAAAAAAAAAAAAAAAGGTTGCATCCAGACTTTTTCAGACCTCTATGCAAAACATTCTAGCCACCCATACTAATAAAACTCAGAATTTCCCAGAAGCATTTCATCCTTTTTGTTCATAAACTAGCAATCTTGACCTCCAGCTTTTAATTTATTTTACTGAAGAATTTATTTCTTTCAATAAATGAAGCACTCCAGATTTGACTCCCTATGCAATGAAGATTAGTCAGAGAACATGACAGTGCATGTGCCAATTTTATTTGCTACTCTCCATATATATGAAGGTATAAAGCTGACTACCAGAAAAGTAACAGAAGGCATTAGCAAATTCCTTTCTAAAGCTTCAGCTCATCAAGTTAATGATTAATGGATTTATTAAAATAGAGCTGAAAGTCCAGGAGCAAAGTTCCAAAGTAAAACAAAATAATTTTACTTGTTCTTAAAACAGTCTGCTAACTCATTCAAAAATGATGTGTTACTCTGACCAGAAGCTTTTTACTACCTTGCATAGGACTGCAAAGAGTAAACCCTCCAAAAGTAATCGATTGACTCATAGAAACAACTGTTTATAAAATGAAGTCCTTTGCACAAAAGGCTAGGTGTGGCTGAGGGAAAAGCAAGAAATATCTGCACCAAAGCCCCTGCTGTGCTGTCACTCAGCACATGACAGGGCCCACAGCTGGGTCATCAGACACTCACTGGGGGCACCCTGGGATTGTTTAATTGCATGCCTAAATAATTTCATGAACCACAAGGAACCCCTCTTGCCTAAAGTCTTCCAAAAAACCTATTACATTATTCCTAATTATCTTCTAATGCCTTTCTCATTTACATGTACAGAGTCACTGCAGTGAGCACAGTGACCTTTTGCTGGACTTCACCAACTGTGGTACTTCATAGTTGTCCCACTGAGCAGTGGGATCAGGAAAAGCAGTGTTGCAAATGGTGCTCTAAAACAAGCATACAGAAGGACTGAACCACCCTAGACTGGCAACAAGGTTTTCAAGCTGATGGGTGCCATTAAGGAGGACAGGATGCAGTGCTCAGATGTCACTCATCCATACGGTCTCCTGTCAGTGACCTTTGCAAAGAACAAATCAATACTAAGAAGATACTGTATCTACTATTTCTTACTGTGCAGGAAAGGTCAAGCCATTTTCATGTATGTTTCAGTTACAACATTACTGTTTTCAGACATGGAACTCCTTAAACACGGGAATTTAAAAAAAACCCCTATCTTGAACAAAACAACATTTCAAAATGTGTTAACTTAAAGAAAAGATTTGGAATGGAAACTTATTTCATAAGCAAGGTATGATGCTTGCAGAAGGAAAGTAAAGTTCTATCTTGCTATCATGAAATGTTCTCTAAAAATACAATGCAAATGAAATTAGAAACAGCATTTATGAGACTGCTTCCTTAGCATAATCTGGTACCACCTGTGTGTTTTACCACAGAAAAAAATATAATTTTAAAACACTGAGCCATTTACAGTTGTTTTGCCCACTGTACCTGTTTTTGACTGTATGCACTGATTAATCTCCTCTTACAGTTCACTTAGACAGCATATTTTGAGAGAAGCCCTTATAGGTTCATGTTTTGCTTTCTATATTTTAACTTGATCTCATTTAGCTCAATTCTTTTAGCTTCAGCGAAAAAATTATGTAATATACATATTGCCACATCTAGGAGATGCTTGGTACCAAAATCATAACTGAAATTTCTGGCCTTTAAAAAAATATATATTTGAATTCCAGAAGTATGATTCAGTTTAACACTTCATAGGACCTGAAAGTTCAAGGAGGAACATCAGAACTCTATTACAACACTGTGTATACATGAAAAAATATCCTGTTGTGTATCTTAAACATACCACAGATTTTAAACTTCAGTGTGGTTCTGTTTAGAAGACACTGCTGCACTATTTGATATTGCAAGTACAAGATCCACAAGGACAACATGTTAAAATATTCAGAATCTAGTATTTTTAAATGCTTGCATATGGGGAAAGAGTTATTTAATACTCAGTGTAATGAATTTCCGAGTTACATTAACTGCAGCATCATAAGGAGAAATTGTACTCCTGCTCTCTAGCAGTGTGGAAGTGGAGCAATGGCAGTGCCATAGATCCATAAGCAAAGTAATAAAAAAGGATCTATAATCTTTTGATGCATACATTTAATACATTTCTGTAAGGTTTATTACATTTCTTGCTTCCTCTTTTCAGCATCACTCATGGTTAATGTTGAGGTATGCATAATGCTTAAAATCACTCAGCAGTCCACATTAAGAAAAGAGAAGCAATGTTCTCAAGAATAAAATAGTTATTTCTAATCTTTCTGCACTTGAGTTGGTCAAGAGGTAAAGCATCTTATTGTAATTTTGTAAATCTGAGAAAACATCCACTGACTCAATTATTTAATTATTTATGTTATTCTATTGCAAAGCCACACTAAGAATGGTTTCTCTCCGTCAAGCAGATATGAAGGTAAAACCAAATCCCTCATCTTTGTACCACTGAACAGCGTACACTGACAGATTAGGAAAGTCTATTCTGATGCTGCTGTCACCCATATCAGCAAATATAAATCTGAAATTAAGTTTGGTGTTTATTTTTAATTAGTTGATTGTGCAATCACATTGGAAAATCAAATTTAAAAAATAATAATAAAAAAAAATAGCATTGTCTCGGAGTCAAACACTGAAAAAAAGCTATACTTCTGAATGCAGCCATGTGCTAAAAGCCAAATTACAAGCCAGCAATTCATTTTAAGATTTCTAAAACTACCTGCTGAATCATTTTTTCACTGAGGAAATCCAATCTACGCATTGTGATGCAGGACAGAGCTGCCTGTCTCCCTGTCTTGCCATACTGCTTATTTTGATTAGCTGCAATGGCATAGAGGTATAGATTTTTAATATACTTTTATTGCATTTTGGATAGCTGACTTACTGACAGTAGGTTTGGGGCATTTTCTCTCTGAATTTTTATGACTATGCCTTTTTGACAACTGTAGTTTTTAACTTTTCATTGGGAGTTTAAAAATGGCTGCATTTCTTTAGGGACAGATGAAAAATTCTATCAGGTGTAATACCAAAAAATGTTTGTTTAGGTGCAGAGGGCATTTAAAAAAAAAATAAAAACAAAACATACAAAAGCCCCCTCGAAACTAACACTGGTATGTTCTTGTCAGCTCCGATTCTGTCCTTAAAAAAGTCTCAAGCTTTTTTAAAGTAGGATCCAAAATAAAACATGCTGAAGATGTAAGTTCTTTTCAAGTGATCTAGGTTTTTACTCAGTGAAAGCCTATTTCCTTACTCCCTAACAACGAAGAACACACAGTACAATAGTAATTATTCTAAAAACAGTTACACTTCCTACTGTGCCTTCATAAGCAGAACTGTGAAACGGCAACATTGCAACAGCACTCAGTAAATGGAAATCAGAATGCTAACTCTGCATGCGAGCACACAGGTCTGATCAAAAGACTCTGCAGACTGTGGGTATTGCTGTAACTGGCTATAAGCGTCTGCTTCTGAAGACAGCTATTCCTCATGGGTAGTCTCTTTCCTTCCATTTGGCCATACGTTAATGGGTTGTCATCCTGCACAGCATTAAGAGAGGGTTGTGGCATAAGCAAAAAGAAATAGTTTCTTCAGAAAGCTGGAGATGCAAAGGGGGAAACAGATTGTAGCCACCAGCAGCATCCAACCAGAAATCCTTGAGTTTTTTACAATCCTATAAAAACAGTCAGAGAAAATGCAGCAGAAAGGTATAAAACAGTTTTTCTTCATTACAACTATGAACACTATAATGCTATTGATCTGAATTCTGTGATGTGTTTTGGAGAAATATTTACTTTCAAGGAAGAAGATAAAATAGGAATCCATTACATACTTTACTTGCCTTAAGTGTGTCATTAAAAGCAGGAAAACAAACTCAAAGCATTTATATTCTGTGAAAAAAATATATTTTATAAAATAGCAAGAGTTTTCTGAAACAAATTCCTAAAACAAATAACCAAGTGCCTAAGTGGTATATTTCATCATGATGTAAATCATGACAAATCAATTGCAAGATGTGTACCTTCAGCACACTCCATCCTGAGCTTTCAAAGGAATACTTTGTTTAGAGAAACAGTTCATTTTCTTGCCCACACCCAGATGCCCCAACACTCCCTTTTACCTTTTTTTTTCCTACTCTAAAAAGTTATACTAAAACCGCTTTAAAAGGTATTTTATTACTCCAATGGAAGTAAGTACTTGCTGTAAAACAATGTACACACTCCCATAAGCTTTTTGTAAATTCTCACAAGCCATTACACCCTATTTAATATTATCTGCATTTTAACCATGTCTTTGTACCTAGTCCCACCTTACTATTTTACCATACCATCTTACTAATAATCACTTCTGAAATTCCAAGTCCTACATCTTAATTAAAACTGTGGACTTGTATTACAGCACTAAATTAACTACAGGACTTTGAGGATTTGGCCATCTGGGAGAAAAATAATTTATATGATCCAAGACTTGATTGTCCAAATATCTTGTGTTTTAAAAGTGAGGTATTTTCTTTAGGTATTACAGATGACCCTTACAAAATGGTACCACATCAAAGTCATCAAAACAGTGCAGATCTAACCTATCAAGTGCATAATATAACATCTGAAAAAAAAGATTATTCTACCTGTATCGAACATGCTCGATTGTGTCATATGTCAGCTTGCTGCTGATATTCTGACTATGAGGGTTGCCTAGGAGACAAGAGAGATACAGAAATTAATCATTAATCACAATTTTGCTATTAAATTTCTCTTTTATCAAAGTATTACACCAAGTGAGCCTAAAAGATGATAAAGATTCAATGCGTACTTCACAGCAATTCCCTGAAGCCCCTTAGTCAAGAGAAGGGACATACAACAAAGTAAAGCAATTATAACAGACCTAGAAACTTCAGCTGGATCTCTTACTAATATTTAGGCAGTTCCCCTAAAAAGAAAATGCACAAACATACTAGAAAAACTACAGACAGAATGCACATTCATAAACATATTTGTGCAGTAGCTAAGAAGCAAAAGACAGGATCTGGAGATAACAGACAATCACGATTGGATAGAAGAATTAATCCTTGGTTTTTTTAGTGTCTGAAATTCTAATAATTCATTGAAGTATAAATTTTATTGCAAAATTAGTAGCCACCTTAGCCCAGCTCAGCACAAGCATATATAACAATTAAGACAGCATGATTTTATCTTCTTGAGCAAAAAAGATTACAGCAATATTCACACAGACACAGCACACTTTCCTATTAGCAAATACTTAGAGAACATGCAAAAACAGTTTGGAAAGGGAATAAGAAAAAAATTGCTACACTAACACAGTTTTTGCAGTAGGCTGCAATATTAGCTACTCTTTTCAAAATTTAAAAGTTACGCTGCTGAAAGTTGTTGAGTGAAGGTGTTGAAAATAATAACTTTAGAGCTCAAACCCAAAACTTAGACTTTTCACATCTGATGTTGTATGTCTGTAATTTCCAATTCAAATAGTGTCACTTCTAATTTGAAAGTATTTCTTACTTACATTACTTTCCCTCATTTACACATGCAACAGCTAAACTGCAGTTCTTTGGGCCTGTGGATTGTCACCAAGAAAATAAAAAAACTGCAAGTCAAACTCCCCCTTCACTCACATCTGTGTTTGTTAAATTAACTCTTCCTATACTGTCCTTAGACAGCATTTACTGTCCTTAGAGTATGAGATGTGACTGGAAAAAAAAATATATTGATTACGCTGGAGCTCTTATCATTTTAGATGAAAATACCAACAAAAATATACAATTTGTTCTCCTACACCATTATAGGTACTATGTAAAATCTGCTCCACACTGACAGTACTACACTAGTTCTATTCATAAGCACTCGATTCACAATTTTTTTTTCTGCCACAGATGGTACTTATTAAAAAGATTTAGCCCAATGTTTGAAATAACTAAGAACAGAGCACAGACATTTCAATTTACAATGTCTATGGTGACAGAACATTAATTTTTATATCACTGGAATGCACTTGAATAGGAGATCTTGAATGTAATCAAATCAATGTATTTTGTTGTAACAGGAAAAAAAAAGCCCCTATCTCTATAAAGAATAACACTTACTTTGTAGTGGAACTCAAATTTATGCTCTGGATCCCAGCCTTGTCAGCATTCAGGAAAAAGAATAGGAGGAAATGATATAATGGCATATGGAAAATGAAAACTACTCAAAACTCTCAAGTGGCTTGCCCAGGTGATAAGCATATGTGCCAGTGCTGGAGTGAACAAGGATTTTCTTGTAAAGCAGTGGTACCTAGTTCCCAAGTGAGGAATCCTTTTGTTCCATGTATCAGGGAGCACAAGAAAGACACAAAACTAGCAAAAAGGACACATGACCCACAGACAGTAAGACACCATAGAAAATTTGATTACTTCAGTGGGACTTCTCACAGCATAATACTGTGCAGTTTATTTTTTTCTAGTTGAGCATGACTCACTCTAATGTAAATTGTCTCACACAGTATCAATATTTCTATACAATGGATGCCGCTGACTTTGTGTGTAATTCTTGGCTAGATAATAACATCAGAAAGAAATAAAAGGTTTAGGTGGAGGATCTGGGGATGAAGTACTTACAGGTGGTGCTGTAATAGTTAAATCTCCACCAAGATATTACACAATTCTGTAGATACTTTGACTCACATTCCTCTGCACAGGATTGCTTTGGCAATACCTATCCTTTTTCTGAGTAGGCACCAAAGTCTAATAGTCAGAGCAGAGCAAAGTCTAATAGCACCTATTCTGTGCCTAAATTCACTTGGGATCTTTGAGCTATGCTTTCTTCTGAATAAAATTTTTATACTGAGTCACAGTATAAGCTCTTTGTGATGACTCTGTCTGAGAAGGAGGGTGGTTCTGGATTCTAGTTATTGCATAAGAAACTAGGTTTGCATTTTTTTGTGGAAAAAACCCACAAAGAATGAACAGTGCTTATAGCTAAAATGTATTTCTTTATCCCAAGCCTGGTGCCCTAACAGAGTCGTGCAACAGAGCCATGTTTGCTTTCATCTTTCTTCTTTACCAGCATAGACAGGTCTTTGGCTACCACAGAATGAAGCCAGGGGTGACACAAAGGGCCTATACCTCCTTTGTAAAAGCACTGGTCTTCCAATTACTCTACAAAAGCATTAAAAAGCCTGCAGAAGGTCTCTTCCAAGAAGCTCAGTTTTGAATGATTTAGATGGAAAATTGAGAAGACTTATGGGAACGTTGCTTTGTACTTACCATAAATGTTGTTTCTGAGGTCATCAGTAAAAGCTTTAAGTAGACTCTCCGGGAAAAGTGCTGAACCAGCATGGTCAAGGTAAGTAATCCCTAAAATACAAATACAATTACTAGTTTCAATTTTTAAAAGATTCAACGCCACTCACACAGATAACATTGCGAATGCACCATTCAAATACCTCTTTTCATTCACTAGCAGAAAATTAAAAAAAGGATGAAACAATAGAAGGTAAGCATTTTGATTATCTGTGCATAATTTTTAATTAAAACCAAAGAGGTCCTTCCTTTCATGCCTAGATTACACAATCCTTGGAAGAGAAAAATCTTTTGTTTGGCCTGTACAAAACTGAGCAAGCTGGTGTCTTCAGCCATAATACCTCACTACTTCTAGGCACTACTTATTATGAAAACTACTATTACCACAATGCTAATAATTATTATTAACAGCAACACTGATAGTGACGTCTCCTTGCTGACAGGTGACACAACTCTCTCAAGAACTGACAAGACCTAAATTGTTTCTGAAGACCAAAGACATGACTAGTAGAAGTTTTAATGCATTTAATCATGTCTCTCCACTCTGCTGCACTTAACATTCAATTAATTTTTAAAATCTGCTTTTATAGTATTAAGCTATTGCAAAACTTTTAAACAAATGCTTATTGGAAATGAAGGCTTTTTCATGTTTGGCCATTTTAGATTTCTTAATGTTTAGCAATTATTCTTCCATTTCTCCAGTGTGTTTCATGCTCTTTTAGTTTTCTCATTTCACTTACCTTAAGTATTTCAACCTATTTCAAATTCTAATAATGATGAATATGATTAAGATTAGAATTTATTAAGTATTTTAAAGGTCTTCCCTTTCCACATAGATTTAAAATTCAGTTAAGCTTTAAATGAGACATCTCGACACTTGGAAATATAATATATTATGTTAGCAGTGATCCACTGGGTAAAGCTGTGAGGCAGGGCTAATAATAAAACCAATCCAGACACCCACCCCTTATTTTCAAAAGAGGAATCCTCTCCTGCCTTAAGATATCCTCACTTAAGAGTGCCTAGCAGAAGCAGAATTCTTAATGATGGCTTGAAGTCAGTCAAGTGTTTTAAAGTGCTTCAAGGGGTGGACAATGGACAAAACTAAGGGTCAAAAAAAAAAAGGGTCAACTTATTAGCTGTACAGGTTTTTTAGGCTTTTACTTATTTAAAAAAGATGAATCCTAGGAAGTTTCTCCCAAGCAGTATGAAGCAGCACACACATGCACTCAGGGGTCAAAATGCATATGGAGGTCTGTCCTGCTCAGTTCCCAACAGCTGCTCAGCTCTTTGCAGGAATGCAGGGCTTTGGAGGGAGAGAGCACACTGCCCACGGCAGGACACAGCCAGGCCCTGCCCAGCACTGTGGCACAGCTCCTGCCAGCAAGGGGACAGCAGCTTTCCCCCAGCAGGACATATGCTCACCATGGCCACCCCAGGAACTGCAGCTTGGCACCAAAAGCTCTGGCAGGCCCTGAGATGGAGTTAAAGCATGGAGCAACAGCCCCAGTCTACACTAGCTCCAACAGCAGCAGTCGGGGCCATAGGCAGCCCATGGTCACTGGGAGAGGTGGGAAAGGTGGGAAAGGCAGGACTGAGGCTGAGAATGGGAAGAGGCAGCCCTGAGCCAGACACAGGTGGGAGAACTGCTGTCCTGGAAGGAACGACCCTGGCTAACACTCTTCCAACAAAGCCTCCACAGAGGTGCCATTTGGCTCTCATGGGCACCAGGAGCACAGCCAGGCGGTGCTCCTCTGGGAGCAGTTTCTGTGTTTGGACCCTTCCAGCCCCAAGGATGGAGACAGCACTGAAGTCATTACACTGCTTTAAGCACGAGCAAAACACAGGCAACCAGCTGAGGCTCCTTAAACACAAGCTCCTCAAACAAAGGGCAGGCACTGCCCAACCTGACCAACACTCCTGTGAGACAATGTGGACTAAGAGACCTCTAGGTAAAGGCCACTTTAGTTATGAAGGACAATATTGCAGTTCTGTGAAATGGAAGTATAAAAAACAGATAGTCATTTTTTAAACTCCTTCTCTGGGTATAATACTTTTTAAATCTGTGAGGAAATTTGGCTGAGGAAGGAAATATTATTAATTCTTAAACATTTATTCTATATTTAATGCTGCTGTTTAATTGAAAACAGAGAACAGCTTTTAATACTCTCTCCCACTGCCCAAAAAAGAAATGGGCTCTCTCATCTTTTGAGGCTGCACTGAAACAAATCTTCATTGCTATTGCACTTTTATGATGTAGTTTTTCCTTGCTATATTATTTCAACCAAATTGTATTTTTAAAGAAAAGAAAAAAAAAAAAAAAGGTGGCACATATATAACACAACAGGAAAAAAAAACATATTGATAACTTTCATTGTGTTTTTCCCCTGGTTTAATAACATTTGCTATTTTATCTTTATTGAATGCACATTAAGCAAAGAGATTTGTCAGTATATAGAGAACAACAGTTCCCGTTGTTTCACTGTGGTATTTAGTATATAGGCTGTCAGCACTATGGAATGATACTGTTTATGGGAAATAACAGGAGAAAGAAAATATAATATGATCAACCAAAAGAACATTAAAATGCAATATCCATCAGGACATCGTTTCATTGCTCAGGGAAAATGCAAAATTAACTTGTAGTTTAATTTACATACTATTATGTTTGGAGTGTGTAACTGACTTCACTGGTCTAATAATATACCAACTATTTGATAAAATCGTATTTCAGAAGTAGGGTTTTTTTTTTTTTTTAATACAAGTATCAAAAACCATGAAATGTGTTGACATTAGTTATGGAGAGTTATTCAGCTAGAGTATTGGTTCATAAGCTGCAATATTCATATGCTAATATTCTTGCAGATTAATTTTACATGGGAAACTCCTTGGGAACCAATACAGAGGCCAGTCCGTCCTGCTGAAAAAGTCCCAGCCCAGCTCTCTGAACTCCTTACGTGCTACAATTCACCTCTTAACATAGCATTTACCATCTCTGTGCTCTTGGCCCTTCATAAAAAAAAAAAACTTCATGAGTGCACACCTACATACAGTCTCATAAAAGCCAGTTTAACTGAACATTTCTACCTCTTAAAAGAAAAAAGAAAATTTAATTTGGAGCATTTTAATAGAGTTTAAGGTCAAGCAAGAACACTCAACTGCACAAAAGTCTGAGAACCTGCAAAACATACAAGGCAAAGAGAAACTACCAGATTAATCTTTGTGAGCCAAATATCTGCTTCTGACAAAAGCACAAAAATGTGATTAAATGTGACTAAATGTTGCCTAAAATGTGAGTCCACCTGACTTAGAAGAAATTGAAAGACATAATTTGATGAACTGAAAGCCTAACAAGGCAGTTACATCTTTATTAATTCTTTTAGTAACTGCTAAGGTGTGCAAATGTCTACCACGCAGAGGATAGTCTAGAGGGGAAGCACAGAGAGCCACCCTGGAGGCACTTCCTACAATGGCCTGGTGCCACATGGCACTAAGTGACTAAGCTGTCTCCTACTTCACAACCCACCCATAAACCCATGTCTAGTCACCCAGCTCCTCTGTGGCTAAATGATTACTACTTCGGTATTATGAAATATGTTCTTGTAATCCTTGAAACTGTTCTTGGTGCTACACATTTCTGAACTTTGTCTGAGTATCACTTCCAAAAATAACCAATTTACCTACGCACCATCTGGACACTCCATGTTCACCTCCTTAACCTTTTGTTATTCTGTGATTCTACTACAGTCACCAAAACAAGCCAACCTGAGTTTCACAGGCTTTCACAGGTTATTTCTCACAATCCTGACACTTCAAAATTCCTGCACTCCATCTGATTATAGGCTGCCAGTTATATTGCCCAAAGTCTCATAATAAAGAATGAAATGTGTAGTTACAAGGCAGCAACTCTACAGAGTCATAAATTTTGATTGGTGGATATAATTGCTATTCAGTAAGATTATATACACAACATTACTTGGAATGTAGATACAGAAAATGCCCTGGGGAGAAAATATATATCTTAAATATGGCAATATTAACAAAACCAGTATGAAATAAACACAAGCTGAAGGCAAAATTAAACACTATCTGTCAAAAGATAAATATCACATTTCCATATAAAAGGCCATGAGCAGGAGAAAAAAGAAGTGACAAAATAGGTAGAAGTGGGCTCTACAGAGGTTGTAGACAAGTGTGATATCATTTGGACGCAGAGAGGTTTTAACAGGTAGGATCACATCAGGTACCTCAGATTCTTAGTCATAGAACAGTTTGGGTTGAAAGGAACCTTAAAGATTATCTCATTCCAACCATCCTGCCATGAGTAGGGACACCTTCCATTAGCCCAGGTTGCCTGAAGTCCCATCCAACCTGATTTTGAACACTTCAAGGGATGGGGCATCTACAACATCCCTAGGCAATCTGTTCCATTGCCTTACCGCCCTCACAGTAAAGAATTTCTTTCTAATATATAATCTAAACCTAACTCTTTTCCAGTTTGAAGCCATTCCTCCTTGTCGTGTTATAGGTTGGAAATGGGTTGGGTTGGAATTTCTATCTATTAGAGGCGTGGCAGCTAACAGAGGCTATCTTCTGTTAATTGGGCAGTTTTCTTTATCTCTTCCACAACCAATCCTCCCTCAGGGGAGATATCTTCTGTTAATGGGCTATTGAATGTCACTGCATGACTGATAAAAATTACAGCATTCCATTGTGAGATGCTCCACCCAGAGGGAGGAGCCAAGGATTTCTAACTGGATATAATCAGAGATTTTGGGTTACGCAGTTTTTCCCACTGTATTCTCAAAGGAGGAACTCTTTCCCACTGGATTCCCAGAGGAAGACCAGGCCCACCTACACCACTACTGGACCTTGAGAGGAAGACTACATCCTTCTACAGGATCACCGCTTCAACAGAACCACATCAGCCACTGCAGGGGGACTGCAGCCACCATTTCAATCGGACTGCTACCAACCCTCTGACCAACAGGGTATCAGGTCCTATTCTGACTCTGTCAGTGTTGTTTTGTATTACTGCATTGTTTATTTTTTTT